AGGTACGCTCAAACTCATATGAATTGTTTCATGACTTCATTTTCCTTCTACATGTCAATCTATTTCTATTTAATGAAATTAAAATATGCTGAGAAATTTTTACTGAGGGATATACTGTCTGAAACTCTCGCAGTAGTAAACAACTTCATAATAAAAAATCAAAACAACTAAAGTATTCATTTGTTTCAGTCCATCAATGTACCTTACAAAAGAACGATATCTCTCAATTGAAACCCTAAGTTTTGTTGTTGATGACAGTTAATTCAATCTCTTGTATGCTTCTGAGAATGTTTTCTAGAACAGATAGATGTGACAGACGAAGGAGATTCTGTAAGAAAAAAAAATGAAAAGAATTTTCATCTTTAATGGATAACACGATTTATGAACAACTTCTTACTAGTCGACAAAAAATTGTTAAATGAAAGAAGTCCACCTTTCGCGTCGAATAGATGTTGAAAGTCTTGTACGGTGAGCCCTTGACCACGATAAACAATAAATTTTGTCATATAATTATCCAACTGTTTCTTATGAAGTTCTTCTAATTGACGATGAAGATTTCTGATGAAGAAGCCCATTTTTGTCATGGCTTCCATGTCGAGTGTTCGTAGAGCGTAGTTAAGCATGCCATAAAGGAATATTTCACATGTATACCAATAAATTGGCGATTTGTCATGGTAATTATTTTGAAAAGACGTTAATTCTGATTCAGATATACCTCTTTTACCACAATAGAGTACCAGATCCTTTAGCGGCTTCGCGTCGTCTTCATGGATTTCTAATATAATTTCTTTAAATAATACAGAGTACATGAAAGATGGCTCTAATTGATCCAGATTTTCTTGGCCAGATGTTGCTGCCGTCCTTCGCTTCGGAACGAAGCTCATAGGAATTGTATCATGGTCACATTCACGGGTGACCTTCTTCAACGATTCGCATATGGGCTTGATTGCGGTGAAAACACCTTCAATCTTTGCCCATTCTTTTGCCCATGCTTCATGTTT